CGAATGACAATATAATTGGAAGTTTTATTAGGATTACTTTATGCCCAAGTCTGGAGTTTAAAATTAAGCCCAAGTTAGTCTAGTCTCAGTCCAAGACTAACCATCAATCCTGACCAGTGGGTCAGCCCCAAATTAGACCAAAACAGTCCATCCTACGACATGGTCCAGTTCTCGTCCCACTGCTCATCAGTTCTTTACTTAATAGTAGCTTTGTTGTTATGAAAGAAATCAAGTCTGCTATCATTGTTTTTAGTTCTGCGGTGGGCTAAGATCTAAAAAGCACAGATACGAATACGGATAAGATACGATACGAATATGACGACACAACAAAATTCCAAAATATAATATACATCTATAAATATTTTTATTTTTATTTTTATTATTATATAATGACTTGATAGCTACAAGTTTTTGTGATTCTTTAACAATAATAAACAACATTCATAATTTTTTATTTTCAAAAAGTTACCTATCGTCTCACTATAATACATCTATAAAGTGAACGTGATAAATTAAAGTAATAAAAATCAACATTTAACTATATTGTTTGCTTAGAAGTATTTGTTACTAAGATTATAAAGTAATTAACTCATTTAAACTCTTTGAACATGTGATAATGGATAATATTTAGAAAACACTCATGTGTTTTCTAAGTCACATGAATTTTTGTTGATGTATTGCATTTTATGTGAAATCAAAAGAAATGAGTAAAGATTAAAACTAAAAATTACCCATACTTGTCTGCATGTAGAAATATCCTCAAAGTATTCATATATTTTATTTATTATTGAATAGTTTTGATGTGTATTCAATACGTATCCCCGAGTATCCGACGAGTCTCATATCCAATACAAATACATCGACCTTAACGAAGTATCCGTGCTTCATAGGTTAATATTTTACTAGCCTATCTATTGACTCTATTAAGCTGAATGGCAATAAGTACGTCCCACGGTCTTGTTCTATTGAAGTTTTTCTGACTGCTAAAAACAATGTTGAATATCTTACGGATGGTTGATGCCAAGTTTAACCGGTGAAAGGTGAAGAATGCACAAGTGATGACCTTGCCATGTAATATCATGGAACCCCGAATTAGTAATTCATCTTATGTCTCTAGACACTGCAAAATGGATACAGCTTGCGGTTGATCATTTGTTTTCAAGAGAAGATAATACTACCAAAATCTATCAATTGTTTCAAGATTTGTTCAGTCACAAGGTGACGAGAGCATTGAAGAATACTATTCTGCCCTACAGAATATCATGAATAATCTAAATGCTTATCAACCACTTTTTATTTATCAGCATAAGGCGTTAATGATTACCCGCTTTCTCTCGGGTTTAAATGAGAATTGGAGCCAGTCCGTGATACCGTCAATGCCAGAAAAGTTTTTTCTCATATTAAACGAGCTTCCTTTAGCGACAATGGTTGTCATATACTTGACCACTCAGCTTTAGTTGTATTGCGTAGCCAAGGAGGCACTCAATTTTCCGGTGATAGTTATTCCCGTGGTGACTGAGGAAATAGAGGTGGTCGACGAAGAGGCGGTCGCCAATAAATGGATGATCGAGGTGATAGAGGTCATAGATCCATGAACTGCACTCAATTGTAGCCTTAAAAGTCATATTGAAGATCATTGTTGGGATCTCCATGGAAAACCCATACCTTATGTTGATAATGTGTCTCTATAAGATGATTTGGGTTCACTATAGTCTGGTGCTATTGAGCCTACATCCATACCTAAAGTTGTCTATATTGAAAGAGGAGTATAATAGCCTTGTTTCCAAGTCTGGTGCTCTTACAGCTACTTCTACTTCTACTTCCACAACTACTTTGGCCCAATTATGTAAAATACGCTTGTCATCCTATGCTTCTTCCTCATCTCCCAGGGTCATTGATTGGGGCCTCTGACCATATGACAGGTAATGTGAGTGTGTCCTCAAATTTTCACTACACATGTACTAACTAACATGTCACCTTAGCTACTGGATCCTTGTCCTCAGTTTCTGGTGTTGGTACCGTGAAACTCTCCATCACGCAGGTGTATTCCCGTCGCAAAAAGACAGTTGTAACAATGCCTCCATCACTCTCTTTTTCGTCTGAAGGTCTTGATCTATTTCCATCTCTTGATACTAACCTTCCTATTGCCCTTTGAAAAGGTAAATACTCCTATACACTGCTTACGAGATCTACAGCTCATCCAATTGAACAGTTTCTTTCTTATGAGGGCTTGCCTCCTACTTTTTGTTGTTTTACTTCTTCTGTTTTGTCTATGTTTATTCCTCACATTGTTCATGAAGCTCTTACTCATCTTCGGTGGTGTAAAGCAATGGATGACGAACTCACTGCATTGTATTAAAACCAAACTTGAAAACTTGTCCTTTTTTCTCCCGGAAAGAAAGTAGTCGATACTCGGCAATCATTAGTCAATAGTTGGTAGTCAGTGGGTGTATACAGTCAAGTACTTACTTGATGGTTCCATTGAGAGACTAAAGGCCAAACTCGTTGCCAAAGGTTTTACTCAAACAAGGAGTGTGGATTATGCCAAAACTTTCTCCCCCACTACAAAGATTTCATTTGTTATGATCATTATCTCTCTAGTAACAAATTTTCAATGGTTACTATTTCAATTAAATGTCTAAAAAGTCATTCTACATGGAGAGTTGCATGAAGAAGTTTACATGGAACAACCTCCAGGATTTATTGCTCAGGGGGAGCCTAGTGGTACGGTATGCCAATTGAAGAAGGTGTTATATTGCCTTAAACAATCACTCCGAACTTGGTTTGACAAATTTAGAGAAACAATGTTGGACTTCAGATCAATTTGTGTTTGCTAAGAATCTCGAATCAAGTATGATCGTTTTAGTTGTCTATGTGGACGATATTGTTACCATAGGTACTATTACCAAAGGTAATATTTCTCCCAAAGCATTCTTACAACAGAAATTTCACACTAAAGATCTGGATAAATTAAAGTACTTTCTTGGAATTAATGTGGCTAAAGCTAAAAGTGGCATCAGTTTATGCCAGCGCAAGTATGTGCTACATTTCCTTGTTGAAACAGGACTTATAGGTACCAAATCAGTTGATACTCCCATCAATTCCAATATAAAACTAAATACCAATAAGAGGGAGTTATTTAAACATGCAGAAAAGGTATAGTTTTTTTGTGGGTAAATTGAATTACTTGACCATCACAGGACCTGATATCTCTTCTGTGGTTAACTTTGTAAGTCAGTTTACGGAATCTCGAAAAGTGCTTCATTGGAAAACAGTGATTAGAATGTTGAGATATTTGAAAAAGTCACCAGGTCGAGGATTATTATATATAGCACGTATGGGTGCATGGTTGTACTCATGCAAATTGGGTTGGTTCCCCATCAGATAGAAAATCTACTATGGGATATTGTACATATCTTGGAAGAAAATTGGTGACTTGAAAAAGTAAGAAACAGAGTGCTGAGATCAGATCCAACATTGAAGCATAATATAGAGCTATGGCTCATACTACATGTGAATTGATATGGCTAAAAAATTTATTGCATAAGATTCCAATGCAATCATTTTATGATATCAAGTTGCACTTCATATTGCTTCCAATCCAGTTTTTCACGAACCAACAAAACATATTGAGGTTAACTGTCGCTTTGTTCGTGAACATCTGCAATTTAAAGAAGTTAGTACGTGTTTTGTACGATCTTCTTAACAATTGCAAATATCTTTACCAAGTAACTCATTAGAGACAAACTTGACATTATTTGTTCCAAGGTAGGACTATTTGATGTCCTCAGTTGGTGAATAAAGGGTAATAGGGTCATTAAACTAGATACCCTATACTCTTAGGTATACCTATATATATATATCTATATAATAAAACAGAAGTGTGTTTGAATTTTATCTCAGTCATATTTTTTCTCTCAAAACCATCACCAATCACTTACCTCACCTATTATCCCTTTGTCAGACTCAAACGTCAAATCATATCACTCATTTCTATCACATATTTAATCATTTATATATTTCTTCCCTAAAAATATCACACCACTCATTTCTATTATATATCTAATCATTTAATAGTTAATTAATTTTTAGTTAATATATTTTGAAAAAATTTAATATAGTGGGTTCGATTTTTTGAACGCTTGAATTTTATATTTTATCGTGCCTTCAGGCACGGGTTATGACTAGTATATATATATAATCAATGGGAATTTACTGACTCCTCTCTCTCTCTCTCTCTCTCTCTCTCTCTCTCTCTCTCTCTCTCTCTCTCCTTACACAGATTACAAACCCAACCCAATGTGTTCTCTTTAAAAATAGCTGGACCCGATATGCACACACCCTAATCCAAGTTCAAGAAGAACATATTGACCCAATTTTGTAATAGGCTCAACCTCAAAAAAAAGACAACTAAAATCCCTGCCCGTTTGACCCTTCCAGAATACATCCCTCAAATTCTGGAAATTTTATGGAGACCCAGTATGTTTATGAAATTACACGTCTACCCAGATGCTGCAAAATTACTTTATCACCACATAAGTTTCTAGAATTCCAAAATCAGCCCCAAAGTTTCCCAAACTCTAATATTCCCCAAACGTCTATAAAATCATAGGACAGCCCAAGAATTTTAAGCAAAACTTTCGAATTGCCCTGCTAGGCTGCCATCAAGATGGTCCCATTGTCGATTTTTAAGCAACCCTTGAATCATTATCCCAAGCGTTGTTACTTCTAGTTCTGCCCTTGGAGGGTTTATATTTCTCACATAATCTGCCCATCATAAGTTCCTTAAGCAGTTCTTCCCCGTCCTACTTTTTCCAGTAAGTACCCTGTCCTACTTGTTTTCCCTCTCCTTTGAAACAGATAATGCATGAACATGTGTGCACGCATATATGCGCAATCTAAAATGCTGCATCACAACAATATACATCCATATACTCAGTTACTCATATTTGAAACTTTTCCACAAAACAAATTTAAATAGGAGAAACATTGAATATCGGCTATATTTTAATGCTGAAAAACATACCAGGTGATACTGGTGAAGATATTGCAAAAATTGTGGGGTACGCTGTCTCTTCCAGAATTGGAGTACACTCCACTTTCAGAATTCTACCAATGTCTTCATGCTTTGGCCAGTACACCTGGCCAGCATGCAGTTATCAGCATGTGAATATCTATAAAATGATATCTGAGAAAATATTCAAAAGTTTGACCACTAAAAAAGGAAAGAACCCATTACCCCTCTGGTTTCATCAGGAATTACAATAAAATTAGAAGGAGTTCTCTCTCCTATGAACCATTGGTATTTCAAGACTAACTCCGAATCACTGCTCTCAGTTTTGTCTTTGATAAAATTGAAGTGGCAGCAACAAGCATCTTCTTCAAATGGTTGGTCAATAAAGGCTTCCTTCAGCAGGCAGCCTGGAGGAAATTGGTCTTTCCATTGTTCGAAGAGAAACTGAAAAGTAGAATCTGCGCAAGGAACCAAACATCTTGAGAAAAAGGATAAGTAAACAATTTGAGCTTTCAAGGACATATTATAATGACAGTTCCATGCATTTCTGTCCCAAGATGTTAAGTTGCATCAATAGTCCCAAATTTTAAGACTACAGTATAACAAACAACAAATGTATTTGAAAAATATAAAAATACTAATCTCCAAGAACTTAACAGCAGATACAGCATTTTTTTCTTATCATAATATGCTATCATCATCGCCATCAAAATGTCAAAAAAAAAAATTGATGAATTTTTCCAGAGTATAAAGGAACATGCTGTCTTCTTCTGCCTCAAATTGTAATAAGAACACTTAAAATTTTCCATATTCATATTATAAAGAAGGCAACTATGATATACCCATATATCAATCAACTTGAAAACAAAGAATAATTTGTCCATATTCTGCAAGATCTGCAAGGATAGAAAAGAAAAACAGCCAAATACTCGTGTATTTTTGCCACATTTTCATGTAGAAAACTAGACTCAGGTTAAAAATTGTTGTTAGGAATCTTACAGACGCTATGCTACACCAATATCTCCACCCCAGGATATAGCATGACCAAACTTCAACCAATAACCAAGTACAAAGGTTTCACAAAATTACCAAAACCCCTCATCATTTCTTTAGTCTTCCACCCATCATCATCCTTCCTCCTCTATGCCCTTGAGATTCTTCTCTTTTCCATTTCATATTTGTCATTGCATACATCTTCATTTTCAGTGCCCTAAATTACAAAATAGGAATGCTCAGATCACAACCTTAGGCATTTAAGCCAAAAGACAGTCATACGGCAGCTGCTGCACCACCAGTGGATGAGTCACCCTCATCAACTCCTAGACTAACATGATTGTTGATTTGTTGCAAAAGCTTTAGAGTTAGGGGTAGTTTCGTTCTTTTTAATTTTGTTTGTCCCTACTACAAAAGAGTTTCTATTTTGTATCTTTTTCCTTTTTGGCTGAAAACATACTGATGTAGTCGTAATAATATTTACCTCTTCTGCTCATTCTCCCTTTATTTTGTCATTTTACAGATAGTAGAGCCATAAACAAAATCACTATGAAGTACCACTTTCCAATGCCCCAAAGATGGAATGTTGAATACGTAAGTTAGATCGAAGTTGTTTTCAAATATTGATCCGAAGAGTGGCTATCATCCACTTCATATTCATCCAGGAAATGAGTGTAAAACAATTTTGAATGCATGGTAATGCCTTTTGGTTTACCCAACATACCTAGCACATTTATGCAAGTCAGCACGAAGTGCTTAAATGATTTCTTGGGCTTAAATGATTTATTGGGCTGTCTGGTGGTATATTTTAATGTGTACAATGCGTCTATGGAAGAACATTTGCATCACTTCTCCAAGGTCCTTAGTGTTTTACGCACGAAGTTGAATGAAAACCTTAAGAAGTACAGGTTTGCTAATTGACAGATTGATATTCTTGGGATTTGTCTTGGCCACTCCCTCTCATTCATGTAGTGCGAACTTTCCATGGATTAGCAACATTTTCTTACAGGTTTCTTCGATATTTGAGAATGATTACAGCTCCAATAATAGATTGCCTGAAGAAGGGAAGATTGCTGTGAGCAAGAGATGCAAAGTATAGCTGTAACATCAGAAGGAGGAAGATTCTTATCCGTATCAAGGTTCAAAGTATCGGCCGAGTCCAATATGATTTGGCCAGGTCGTATCTGACCAGGCCACTGCCAAATCGATCAGATTCATCTAGTTTGAATCAGACAAGTCCAAAAAATCAATCATTAGATCTTAGAGAACAAAATACTGCCAAAAGAAGGCAGAAGGGAAGAAGTAGATAAGACCCACATGTGTAAAAGAAGACCAAACTTGCAAACAAATCCTCCAGGTGCTAAAATCAATTGAACAAGAAAGAAAAACCAAAACAAAAAGGAATTTATATGCAAGAAAGCAAAAATCACAAAGATCCACATGTATCGTTCAATTTTTCAACACTAACCCACAGGACCATATGCAATCTTCCAATTGCAAAACCCTAAATCAAACCCCCTTTCATAATAAGTAATTGAGAAAATTTGTAAGAAAAAACTGTAAAATTATGAAGAAAGTGAAAGTCCAATTCTTCTTTATCTTTTGAAGCTATTGTGGTCTCACAAAAGGCCCAATGTCGTTCTCAAAATCGTCTCTTCTTCCCCGTGAATTGTGACTAAGATTTGAGCCTCCAATCAGTCTCTCTCTCTCTCTCTGTGACAAAACCACACGAGACAGAATCTCCCATCTTTTGGCTCACCCTCTCATGTCCTAACATGGCCTCTTAAAATATATAGGATTTTTTTTTGGTTATATTTTCAGTAATTTTTTACTAACTTCTTAACACATGTCAAGGTATTATAAGTTTTCGTATATATTTTTGGCCAATAAAGTATTTTGTTGTGCTAAATAGATTTCATTTATCAGCAAGGTTTATGACTTAGACATATTAAATTACTATATTTTATTAAGTGTTATTTTTTATATAAAATTGGACTTAAATTAATTTTGGTTCAGTATGTTCTTATATTTAAAACTAGTGATGGCCAAGGATCAAAATTTCGCTTCGTTGTATTGTTTCGGTTATCTAGAAAATGGAAATGTTTCGAAGATGATTCGGAAACAATATGGAAACAAATAAAAATTTTCAGAGTTTATTTCCAAAATATTCAGAAACATTGGTCGAAATACACCTAAACATCCTTCTTATCAAAATATATACATATATACTGAAACATCTCAAAACATTCCGAAACAATGATGAAAACATGCCATAACATCTCCAAAACCACGAAAAACATCTCAAAAAATCTTAAAACATTGTAAGGCATTGAAAATTTGAGACCATCACTGTTTTGATGCGATCCTCTTGGAAGCGGAAACGTTTCGTCCCTTTTGAACCAAAATTTTGATCCTTGATTATGACACATTTTCAACAACGCCTTTATAATGCATTTTCACTTTGTTTAATATTTTAGATGATGAATTTTCAAATATGATACATGAACTTTGTTCCTTACATTTCTAATATTTTCATGATTTTTTCAAAATAATTTGGGTCTTTTATCTAACATTTTAATCATATTGGTCAATACCATACAACGACGCCCTGATCAATGTGCATCAGTGTCTTCCAAGTCGACAATTGATACCGCGACCTTGAACCATGATCCTTAACTAATTTTGAGAAGACTTCAAAATAGATTGTGATGCTTCCAAAGTTGGCATGTGGACTGACCTTAGTCAGTAAAATTGACCCGTGGCATTCTGTATTGAGAAACTAAATAACTCTTGGCTAGGGTAACCAACTTATGATGTTGAGATCTGTGCTACTGTGGGAGCGTTGAGGCATCACCAGTACTACTTACTACATAGAGAGTTTACTCTCTATTCAGATCACATGCCACTTAAATACATTTCAAGCTAGCATAATGTTAGGGGCTTGCACTTTTTAAGCTCATGTATGGCACTTAGACACAGGCAAGCACTCTTGAAAGTGTTAGTTCAGCCTACAAATCTAGCTAGCAGAACTTAAAAGTTAAACGGCTAAAGAGAATGAGAACAAGAGAGTTTAAGAGAATGTAAATTATATTGCCCAAGAGAGTTGCAACTTGAGACTGAGTGAATGCATATAATAATTCATCCCTAACTAGAACCTTTCCAAGTGTTTTGCTCCTACGGGGGTTCTAATATCTTCAATGAAATATCTAGGCATTTGTTGTGTACATGAATGTTCTATAGGCTTCTCTTATCTCTCTAGATAGTTCTCGCTTTAGATTGTTCTTTCAAGGAAGCCTAAGACAGAGAACCTCATTATATGGTTCTCTACAAAATTCTAGAAGGCAGGAAGTGACACCAAGCTCAATCAAAGACAAGCAAAAAGGGTGAGATTTTTAGAACAATTCACCTTTTCTTTAAAGCATAAGGTTGGAGTACAAAACAAGGAGGTTGACACTTTTGAGTTGTCGAGTTTCTCTACAGGTTAAGGTGATGGGATTCAGTTCTTTTAGAGATTTGTCTGTTGAAGACCAATATTTTGAACATGTTTTGCATAAAAACAAAGCTGGACAGCATTCATTTCCATGATGGACACCTCTACAAGGACTATTAACTTTGCATTCCAGAATGCTCCCTATGAGAAAAGATAATCATGGACCAATATTGTTTGGGGCATTTTGGGCGAGATAAGAGCTTGGCTTTAGTGGCTAACCGTTTCTTTTAGCCTAGAATGCAACCAAATGTGACGTGCTATATAGAGAGGTGTCAGAAGGGTCAAAGAGCAAAAGGAGGATCAACTAATGCCGCCCTATACAATCCACTTTCTATTCCAAATTCGTCGTGGACCACCATTAGCATGGATTTTGTGCTTGGTCTCCGTCCTACTGAAAGAAGAGTGGACTCTATCATGGCAGATATTGATCAATTCTAAAATTTGGTTCATTATATTGTTCACAAAGAGACAGTGGACATCTCTGATATTGCTAACCTCTTCTTTCAAGAGACATAAAGATTGCATGGTTTTCCTTGTTACATTATTTCAGATTGTGATAGTAAGTTTCTTGGAGTCTTGGACATTTTTGGAGAACTCTATGGAAGTAAACTGGTACAATTTTGGACTTTACTACTTCATTTCATCATCAAACAGACAGTGAAGTTGACAATAGAAGTTTAGGAAATTTTTAAGATGCCTAACTGGAGATAAGACTAAACAATGGGATATCGTGCTGCCACTAGCTGAATTTGCTTATAACAGACCCATGAATCGCATGACAAAGCGAAGTCCCTTTGAAGCAGTTTATGATACAACCTAACAGCATAGTCCACTTGGTTCCCATCCCAAACTTGAAGAAAGTCAATGTGAAAATTGAAGAAATTGCAGAACACATGAAGCATATCCATGAGCTTGTACGACAACATCTGAAGCCAACAATATGTGCATTGTTGTACAGTTATGTTTGCTGTTGGTAACCACATTTGAGCGGTTTTGACCAAAGAGCTCCAAATGGAGTAAACAATAAGATGAGGGGTCGAAAAATTGGCCTGTGCAAGATAGTAAAGAAGATTTACTGATAATGCATATAAGGCGACTTTTCCAAGCCATAACAACACCTCAGATGTCTTTGATATCGAGCACTTGGTATCATACATAGGAGTCATGACAAAGGAAGAAGTCAACAACTCAAGATCAAGTTTTTCTCAACCAGGGGAGCCTGATGCAGTGCAGAAAATAAATATCAGGTCAGGTGTGTATTAGGCTTCATGCAGTGCAGCCTTATATTTTATCTTGTTTTAAATTGTCTTATAGATGGTTATATTATGGTCTGTTAAGTATTATGTATCCTTTTGTGTGTGGACACTTTTGAGACCGAGATGAAAAGGATTCAAGGGTTAAATATAGAACCTGTCCAGCAAGCTATGAAAAGCTACTTTCAATAATTAGGGCAACAACTTTATCTCTCTTATTTTGAAGAATAGAAGCTGCATCTGCAGTACTTTTCCAGCAGTTTTCTGGCCTGTTTTCTCCTTGTTTTCTTGTCTAATTTCTGTTTTCTTTCTTAGACTCTTGGTTGTTGAGATAACCTAGCTAAAGAGTAATAGAGTTTTAATGAAGGCAGCAAAGCTCCAGCTGCTTGCAATAGGCTGCATTACTTTTACCTCACATTTTTCTGTCATCAACATATAAGATTTAGATTCTTCAAATGACAGCTTATGTCCCATTGTTTAAACGAGTGGTACGAGAAAGATATATTTTCACTCAAATTTTTTTCAAATGTTTCTTGTTCAATGCTCTTTGTAAAACCACATTACCAGCAACAGTTCAAGCGAAAAAAATTACGCTTGTTTTTAGTAACTTTAAATCTGAAAACAATTTTCACAATTATTTGATGATATCTGAATCACCTTTATACAATTAATCATATATCATCTGTAGTAATTCAAGCTCAATCTTGCCCAGACCAAGAAAGCCAACCACGACCTATATATGGGGATCATCCCATTCCAGGCAAGCATTAGTACACTCCACGCCTATTTAAGTACAGCCTAAACTCCAGCTCAACCCAGTCCATTGCAGCCTTGCATACGCTCTTTATCCATTGAAACTCCACATGTATTTTATTAACTCATTAATCCAAAACCGAAGACAAAGTCGGATCAAATTTATGAAAATGTCAATTCAAGTTCCATTATATGACATGATCAAGGAACCAATTTTTCCTTGGGTAAAAAATTATTATTCGAGCAGATACTACATGAACTGGTCAATAAAGAATTAGCACTTTCTCAAATGAAAAAAAAAACTCACCAACAGCTTGTTCTGGGCGGCAAAACTCCCAACCGCCTCGAATGCACAAGGCGGCATGCACAGGATAGCGTTTAGCAACTGCTATCTCCTCCCGAGAAAGATCTACAAGATATAACCCATATAATTAATACGAACAAGTGCTAGCAAGTCCTTTATAAGAAATGTAACAAATAAATTGCTAGAAACTCTTCATTGAAACAAACTTGAAATGCAGATATGAGCTCACCGCAATGTAGTGAAAAGAAGTAACAAAAAGAAAGAAACAACGAGAGGAAAATAATCAAATTTGATAAAAAAGTAGAAAAGTTTTTGCCAAATCACAGCTAACATGTTAAACTGAGCAGACAAATGGACTTAAACCCACAGCCAAAAAAATGTGAGAAAGAATATACCAGAACAAATAAATGAAAAAGTTACAGAATACCTCTGTCATTGAACTTTTTTAAAGTTGGGCCAACAAGTAAAATAGAAGCTGCTTCTAGATGAGGCATCTTAAGTATAGGATTCTCTTCCACTCGTAAATGCTGCAGCAAGTCATAATGATAAACATACCAAGTTTGAGTACGTGCCATGAGAATGTGTGTGTGCATCACACAATACACAGACTAGGATTTATGATATTTCATTACTTCTTATGCCACGTAGAACAATAGGAAAAAGAAAAAATAAGTGCATAAACCAATTAAGATTAAATAAGCAGTTTAGCAGCACTAATGCTTCATATTCAGAAGAGATTAAAAATCCATTTCTACGCTAATTATCGAGAACAAAAAAGTTACTAGTGTAACTCTAGAAATCTTCACAAGGAAAGTTAGAAAGTTCATTTGTTTCTAGCGCAATGGACACTGTCAACATGTTAGACAACACAACAAAGGCAGATTCCAAACTTGCAATCAACTACACATATCCTATGAGATAGTTCTCTTACGTCAAAAAAACCATATTTGAAAATTAAGTTAACTTGTCCAAACATATCAGGTATTAAGCTACACAGTTTCCTTGTAATGAACAAGTTGGAAGGTCCAAATGGCTTATTAGACTTGCCCAGAATAAAAGAGAGAACAAGACGGCGAAATTGATGGCTGGGCTAAATGTTTGGATTCAGCACTAAGAACCCATGTAAACAGACATCCTTTTGCAGTCAATGATCTAGGAATCTATTTAATTGTGCCAAGCTATTTGATTCCAGGTATCATCTGGCTACCAGAACCTGCCTCGCGCATAGGAAAACCAGTTGATGGTCTATGAAGGCAGGTCACACCAAGAGCTGACAAGCACCTAGACTATGAGAGTAAAAGACCCCTAATCTAAGCTATAGAACGGAAAAGCACCCAGTTGAATCCTTGCTTAACCAGAATGCAAGTAAACACAGCCCTAGCCCTCAACACACGGCATTAAATGTTTGGAGTATGAAATGGGATACACTTGATCAGATGACATCCCGATTTTATATGACTAAATTCATTTAACGTAATATCATGTTGGGAACCTCAGATAAATAATGAAAAGCAGTGTCACAATTCTGATAACTATGAAAGACGCAATGCACGTGAGTATATACTATTGGCCAAATAATGCTACAAATCCTTGCAGAGTGCAACTAGAGTTATGTACAAACCTTGATGCATGTGACAGGAGAAAAATAAAGAAAGCCTAATATCCAACAGCCTGCACACTACACTAACCTTTATACCAGTTAACATAAAGCCAATATTCAAAATATTGAATTGAGAAGTGCCAAAAAGATCAAGGAAATAGCTACCACGCTGTTGTTTTTATTTTTGAATGTCGGGCATGCACACTAGAAGATATACACCAAAGAATAGCATGATTAATGCTACAATCTACATTAGCAAAAAACTTGACATTTACCACAAGAGAAATATGATGAACACATGATGATTCTGTTGTAGTATCAGAATCCAGGTTTTCCAATTCGCAAGGCTACATTTTGTCTAAGTAAGATTAGAACAGTACAAGTAAGAGACGATTACTGAAGTAAGCAGCCTGTTTGCAAGGCTGTCAAGAAAAATAATAGCATTTGCATAAGTGAATTATCAGAAAATTCTTCTCTCATTTTCATTTTTCAATTTTCTTTATATTTAAAAGTGTGGGTTTGCTCGTCAACGTCTAAACAGGAAATATAAGGGAGACCACCAAAACTCTAAAATGATACAAAAGCCACACCTGCAGAAAGGCAGTTAAAATAACTTTCGGAAAAAAATTTATACAGAAACTCATCCTCAAAAATGACAATGAGGTGCTTGAAAGGTCAAAGAGGTTTGATGTGTCAATACAGGTACAGGTTAACGTTTTTTGTGAAAACAACAGTCCATGATGCTGCCTGAGCAGTACATAATATTTAAGAAAAAGGAGTAGAAGTTAATGCTTTAAGAGGCTAAGGTACTGTTAGTTTTGCTTATGACTTATATTCAAATGGCATGTTTTCCCATTTAGATATTGGTTTTCTTCGTTATATTCATACTAGCAAATGGCAATAACTCCATGCCTAAAGGCACCCTGCAATACCAAAAATCAACCATTGATCGTGTAATATTGCTATTTTAAATAGCAATTTATTTTCCCCTGCTTTTTATTTAATTATGCAATTTAAAATTAAAGTAAACAAACAAAAAATAAGAGAGAGGTAGGCGCGGATTAATAAGCTTGTTTCACATTCGAGAGTGTGTTGGTTAAGTTGTCTGACATTGGAAGCCATACATAAAGAAGATAATGTTTTTTAGCAGAAAAAAAAATTGAGCTGAATTTTGTACAATTTGATCAAAGTAGAAGAAAATTAGATCAATCTTAACCATTGTTATCCTTTTATAAGTTGAAAATTCAACTTCCTAACTATAATATTAGATAGATGTGTGTGTCCGAGTGTGTGTGTAAATGGATAAAAAGACAGATAGACAGACAGAAAATCAAGCAAAGAGGCTCTCATGCCGAAGCAGAGACTTAGCCCGGGTGCCCCTACAGTCGCAACAAACCTACCAACAAATTCAACAAAATATACCTAAAACATGTCAATACAAACCACGAAACACACAAAGCTGCTTTTGTAAAAACGCGGCATGCAGACAAACATGCGTTACGAACCTCAAGGGCAGGTAAATGTGGGAAGCCCTTCAAAGTTGATATTTTGTTCTTGCTGGCAGCTAATACCTGAGCCAAACAGGAAGTGACACATCAAGATATGACCAAGCACCACACACCAAATAACAGAAGGAACAAACAAACCTGCAGTCGAGGCTGACTTGCCATAGAAAGAGACTTTAACTTGTTTTGAGCAACCGAAAGAAACTAGAAAAAATAAAATAAAATAAATAAGAAGACATTATTAGTGGACAAGCATAGAAGTATTGTAAAAAGAAAACCATCATATCAGCAGATGTGCAAACATTTCTTTAAGTTTGTTTACCTCCAAATTGGGCAGTTCAGGAAGGCTTACAAGTGATGTGATTTGGTTCCCAGCAAGGTAGAGTTGCTACAAGTATAGTAAGATATTTTAGAGCCATATTTTTTCATAGGAAACAGATATTTTAAAGCCTTATTGCCTGAATAGGTGCAACTTTACAACATTCAGAACCTCACCGAAGACGAATACTATATCAGATATACACAGACCTGTAGGGCTTTGCAATTCTGAAGTGGTTCAAATCCAGGCCCTTTGAAATCGTTAAAGCTCAAATCAAGAACCTGAAAAGAAAAGTAAAATTAATCTAACAAGCTTCTGTTCCAAGAGGCAGAAAATTCTTACAAGATAATAAAATTGAGATCTTATATGGGATAAGCAACGCTAATCATGTTACTCCAGAAATTTGGAACCTCAAAACTTAGACAAAAGCAAAGTTGTGAAATTTCAAAGAAACATCAGAGAAATAAACGAAGAAATAGTGCACAATTCTGAAAACAGACCTTCACCCGCTTCAGTATTTCAATACCTTCCAAGGTAGACAAGAGATTGTCTCTCAGATAAACAAACTGCCAAGTAAGAATTTTGAGTTAAAGAGTAACTAAAATATTCAAAAAGGTATAATGCAAGCAATTGATGCACTTTCTCCATATTATGTTATTGAAAAACCTCAAAAGAAAAAAGGAACATAGCTGCCCATCGTGCTGACACTTTGATGTCAACATATATTACATAGTAAAATTCACTAAGAATTTCGCGCACAACAACTTAATCCAAAAGTCCCCAGCCGACCACCTTATAACCGTGAACAAATGAGATTCAGATACCAAAACCTCTACCTCAGAAATACAGGATGAAATATATGCAGTCTTATTTCAAATATAATGGCATCATTTCAATTTGATTTTGGAGGTCGAGGCTTTCTTAAATTTTAACAATTTTGGAGTAATTACAACACAAGATAATTTGTGTTCCATCAATGATCAATATGACATCCCATTAAAAATACCAAAATAATAGACCAGACCAGACACCCTAGAAAACATAATCTCACATGCATATATGGTAGATCAAATGTCATATTCAAGTTCTTCAAGAAGGATCCCAACCAAGTAGATGAAAAATATATATTCTCAGCATATATTTCACTAAAAGTAAGAAATGAAGCATTCAGTAATCCCCTTTTCTGTTTTTTTCTTTAAAAATGAAACAGAAACTGAGTGATAGTAATGTAAGTATGTAACGGCACAAAAATATTCACAGGAGTCCAACAAAACAGAGAAGAAGCATCCGATATAAGATCAGCTTACCTCCAAATTCGGTGACAAGTTCAACCCATTAGCATTAAGACTGCGTATTCTGTGACCCCTAAGATCCAACCTCTGATATGAATAAGAAAAAAAAGATGTGGTGATTAAAAGATGGACCAACAAAAAATGCCAAGAGTTTTTATCAAAAAGGTTTCTAAAAAATCATCTCAATAAATATCACCACAATGAAATTACATGAACAAGAAAGATGATGATCTTAGTATAGAAAATGACGTAATTGTATTTTTTTCATGTTGATACAAATTCAAACAGAATGCAGATTAGTTCAGCCGAAACCATGAGAAATATCACATGGCATTCTGAGTGACATTGATGACTGAGTAATCAGTTTTTTTTATGTTTGTGTCTAAAAGTGCTGCTGCTGCCTGCTGCAACGAGAGATCAGCATGTTAAAGACCAAAAAAAAAGGTCATCATCATGTTGATGTTTGCACCTAAAAAATCTGTATCTATCCCAAAAATTCTATTTGCAACACGTAAAACTCAAATCTACTAAACAAAACTTTGTCCCAACTAACTGGAGTTGGCTAGGGATGCAACTTGAGAGGGCCAATCTGAACCCAACACAGAACATCAACAACTTGAGCAGGAATTTTGAATAATGGGATTGGGCTTGGACAGAAAATCACAACCCAAATTGAATCTCAACAATACTTGGGGTTTGGGACCTCAGATTTGGGACCCAAAACCCACATGAATTCCCTTTATTTTTCCTAAACAGCTTTGTATATAATAGTTATGTTCGGGTTAGAGTGAGACCTGTTCTAACCTCTTTCATGGTACATTGTTGTATTCAGTCCAGTTTTACTTATTTTGAATTCTTTTACTATTAATATTTCCCTCCAAACTTCTAATTATTATTGATTTCACTTTATTTTCATCTGCTGCTACTATTTCACAAACAAATAATATACATCATGCAGCCTCATCCTCAATGTTTTTGTTAACAGATGCATAATAAAGACAAAAAGATATGAACTTAAAACAAAATTCTGATGGAAGCCTATGGTGATTGGGAATCAACTAGTTGGTTAGGCCCATCAATTTATAAGATTTTGATCTAAACCCAATTCGAATCGGAATCCGATTAGTTAGATATGAATTAATTAATATTCTTTATAGATATTCAAATTTCAATCCTTCATATCATATTCTGTGAATTCTTTGCATATACTTACACCATATCCGATTATGATCCGATCCCAAATATACACATCAATATAATATACGATGATACTAAGTAAATTTTTGATAAGAATAATTGAAATTAAGATATAATTTCCTTAAATTCAGCTCTAATTGAGTTAATCATATCATATTTTTGGATTGTTTTTCAATTTTTACCAAATTTGGGTATGGACTATAAAAATAGAATCCGCTGAATAATTATATTGGGCCCAAAGTTTTCAAATCGGATTCAAATCGAACGAAATCCTATTCAAATCCAATCGAAACTGGCCTATGGTCACTCCTATACTTATGAACTCTAAAGTAACTACATCCTTATACATAATTGGAATCATATTAATTCAACTATTTGTAATTTTTTATCAGAATCCCACCATATAATATCTCTAAGGACTATATATAAGTTTTCTCTAAATATATAAAGACTTTTCTTTTTTCTCTGTATATATCTATCTTCCATTGTCAACATCCTAGGCATATTTCCAGACTGATTTTCAGATATTATCGTTTCAAGTTTTGAACAATATTCGATCTCTAACTCCTCAAGTTTCATTGAATGATTCATTTTATTCAATGACTCGATAATCCGTGCAACCCTAAATATCCCCCTTATTACTGTATGTAGGCCTTATCTTTCTTCACTCACAAGACATTTCCTTAGTCTTATAGTTTTATTAAATTATTTGGATAAACAAGATACTCCAACATATTCAAACCAGTTGCCAACCTCAATAAGTGGACCACCCAGCTAGAATGTTTTTTTGACATTTGATTCTTTTTAAACACTCTATTTTGGACACACTTAGGCCTTAGTACACCAAAGAACTTGTTCTCTAATTCAACCAAAAAAAAAAAAACTTATTTTCGTAATGTCTCTATGACTAGTTTTATTTAATAATTTTTAAATTAATCACTCCATATTTCTTAATTTTCTTGTTTTGTACTAACCCTTGAATACAACTTAACCCAACTCCATTTATTATACCAACCCTTGAATGCTCGCTTTTAATAAACTTAATAGGATTAGAATCTCTAGTTTTCCCTTCTCGTAATTTAGAAGGCATATAACTACATATATATTTTTTCTTCCGCATTTCTATCTAACTTGAAATAAAAATTGCGTATTTGTTTGCAAGTTTATAAATCTTAAAACTCTCATCCATTTGAACAGCTCAAGGACTTAATTCAATAGTACTGCTTATTTAAACCAAAAACAATGTTAGGCATCAGATATGCCATTTCAATCTACAAAAGGAGAAACAATTTTCTTCAAATACACAAGTGTAGCTAGTAATGTAATGCACACGTCTATTTTTCCTCACTGTATCCTTCTAGGAATCGTACAATCTTAATAAGTTTTTTCTTTTACGTATTTTAAACTTTTGACAATATTCCATGGCCAGCTCCTATGTTTCTCTAAATAATGCATACCAAAAAAGACAATAAAGCATTAATAATGGACCATGGAAGGGTGTATCTCATCTTACACTCAGTATGTTTTCTTTTTGGTTTTTTTTTTTGGCAGCACGGTTGATACATCTAAAGCAGGTAATACTTTAAGGGGAAAAAAAAGGTATCAAAGACGAAGTAAAACTTCAAAAAGATACATTCTTTGTTGGCAGAAGTAAAACTTCAAAAAGATACATTCTTTGTTGGCAGTTCCTGTAAGGTAGAGGTAGCTCATTCTATGTTCTTTTAAATGATGATTGCTCGGGGGAGATTTCAAAAAAAATATTGCCAAGAAAAAAAAAAGGAGCAAGCACATGGCCCATCTTAAGAGCAGATTGAACAATATGTTTTCATGCATTAAAGCAGACATTAGATCCACAAAGAAAACAATGGAAAATAGTATTCTTCCTTTGCAGTCCCTGAAAATTTAATCAAGTAATCAACAAATAAGTACTTATCCTCGGCTCTTGACTCATATCGTTCAGCTCAAGCTATTGATGGGACAATATGAAATAATAGAAAGGATTGGAAAAACATTTCCACTATCCTGCCTGTATGTTTTTTGTTACTTTACTTGCAACAATTAAACATGACAAACAGAAAGTGCTTCAAGAATATTCGGAGACCAATCTGCAAAAACTTCATATAGGACTCCACAAAGAAATGATCCAATTAATCAAGATACACAATGAAGATCGTATCCATACAATTTTGTACTTCTCAAACTATTCGAAGTGATTATTCCATTTTGGTAATGAAGAACTTTTTATTCCTTACTCTTGGGCTCAGGAATTCCTATATAACTTAAGTGACAAAATAAAAGCTTTTTTCTATTCTTTTATCAACCAACTAGCAACGGGCGCGTGCCTAAAGGTAATATGTAACAAAACCAAAAGACCAAATTCACCCCTAAAGTATTTTATGTAATTAAGATTTACCCTATTTGCAAACATACAAACTTTGAGCCAAGAATCCAAGTGGCACCAAACTGGGATCACCAACTGCCCAATTTATGTTTCATGTTTTAAATGTCAGAAAAAAGATGAACATCACAAAAAGAATTTTATAAAATAGAGATACTGTGAAAGGGAGGTCTATACACATGCAATGTGCGTGTGTGAGTGGGGGAGGGGGGGGGGGGCAGGAAGGTGAGATATAGGAGATATATAATTGAGATATGAAATATCTGAATCCACATGATTTAAGTATTCAAAACAATTTGGGCAAGGTCGGTACTCTTTTGACAGGAAATTATATTTTCGAGTGTCAATTTTGGCTGTTGTATTAACTGCAAATATTTACCAAGTTACTAACTAACTTGGGACGTTCAAACAAATTTATAAGTTGGGAGATTCAAAATACCTTGTACTTTATTGTATAGATTTTTGCATCATATTCCATAGCATGTGAAAGTATTTGTCCACAAAAAAAATGGAATTTGTGTATTAATATGTGCGTACTCCATACTGATAGCATGGCTAGTCAACACACCACTCATGAAAGGACTATGTCACCATGGAGCCAAGCCGACTAAACAATTGGCAACTCTAATTGTTGCACTGTTTACAAACCTCACCCCAATCCTTCAATAAAAGTGAGATAATGCAATGCTACCCAAACAACTAATTTTGCTCCCTTAGCTCCTGGAATATATGTGCACAGTGGCAGTAGTCTATAAATCAACTTAGCATTTCAAACTCAAACCAACTAACCAAACTTTGGTACATCCTACAAGATTCCATGCATACGATTATACATCAGGTGAGCTGACAAAGTGCTTACCACATCATCACCAGCTTTGATTTCCACCTGGGGAAGAATAATAAAGCGTGAATCCCGACTTTCTGGAGTCCCCATTTTCTTACGGCCAGATAAACTGGAACTTCTGTCTAGCGACGATGACAAAGACCCAGCTCTTGATCCACTGGAAACCGAAGGTGACCGAGCCGATGGCGAAGACACCACCTTTGAAACTCCTTTCCTAACCGTGCTGCTGCTGCTGCCAGGGCTGTCCAGTGAAGTAGATGCAACCCTCTTTGAAGAAGAAATAGAAGGCGATGACAATTTCACGGACGATTTCTTAACAGAATCTTGCTTGCTCGCATCAGTACTAGACAATGCTCTTGAAGTTTTAGCAACAGGGGAAATGGGAACCAATTTTCTGATCTCTGAAATGCTTGCCCGGGTAGAAGGTTTAGTACCAACTGAAGACAATGAGCCCCTTCTAACATTTGGAAGAGACTGCCTCAATGGCTCCGAGGCAGAAGAACTGTTCTTTTTCGCCCCAATTGAGGTATCTATACTTTGTCGTTTTGTGATTGACATTGGCTGCTTTTCAGGCAAACCACCAGTGCTGTTCCTTCTAGTCACTGGCATCAAATTTGTAATCCGTGAAGCACTGCTTACAGTTGATTTGGTTAAACTTGATTTGGCCATATTTGAATTTGAATTGGAACCACTCTCTGGTTCTATTTTCTTTCTGGTTGTTCCAGTTGGTCCCGTGACCTTTGATGGTGCTGTAACATTTGGTTTCATGGTTTTTGATGTTCTTTTTACGCTCTCAGTGGAGGATGGTTTCTGCATCTCTAAACTTTGCAGCTTTTCTACCGATTCTTTGCCAGATTGAACCAATGGCTCCTCCATTTTGGTTCAATCCCAGCCCCAGGAATGGCAGAAAAAGTCTCTGATATAAATACATTAAAGTGACAATCAAAAAAGAGAGAGGTAAACAAGGATCTATGCTTTGTTTGGTTTACATGACATGCAGCCGAGGGGAGGGGTGGTGGTGTTTAGAAACAAAAAAAAATTGCGATCTGAAAAGGAAAAAAAATTACGATACTCAATTGAGCCAAAAGTGTAAAAAGCTCTTTTTCGACAAGAAAATGCAGGGAAATGAATGGGGGAAAATGGTACTATGATTCTTCTATCAATAGGACCAAACTATAAAAGCCAAAACAAAATGTAAATAAAACCTACTCAACAAAAATTAATTCAACTGCTACACTAAGTTAATCAGTGTGTTGATCCTCATATTCCAAAAAACATCATTGGAAGTTCATTCGTATCTTTTTTTTATACTTAATTTTCTCACAACCAAATAGAACGCAACACTGTTGACATTGAACGCAGAAAAAAGTTTTACCCAAAAACATACATTCTTAGTTTTTTTCTTTTTCTTAATTTTCTCAGCAACCATTCGGATAAGGAGAAAACCCAGAAAAGGTTTGAGGAAAAAAAAACCCAAAAATTGACAGCGTTATATAGTCCAAAACTTTGCGCACAAACCAGAGATCAAAGAATACTGACAACTACACTCGAGCACATAAGCCCATTCTTGAATCAATCACAATATGTAGCTTCTTGATCTCAAATTCAACACTATACGCACATTTTAAGCTGATCCCAGTAAGCAAAACGCTTCCGGAGAGAGAAAGATAAAACATTAAAGTTCTATAGTGAGAAAGTAAAATGTCTGTGTTTTCATACCTGAATTGCCTCTAGATCTGAAGAAAGGGACCGTACTATTCAACCACCCTTGACCATTTTTTTGCTAGGGTTTTCATACGCATACTCTAATGTATATTGAAGTTTTAAAAGCGTGACATTAAAAAGTGAGATAAAGTAAGAGAGAGAATCGACTGAAAATGATGAGAGAGAGAGAATGTGTGTAGAGTAGAGTAGAGTGAATGTAACTGGAGATAGTAGCGAATAGGACACAAGAAGTTGTAGTATGATATTGGAGACCAGTAGGCGCAGTGGCGTACAGGTCACAGTTAATTGTCGGTGTGTATCTGTGTGTGAGAGAGAAAACGGTGCGTGGGAGAGAGGAAGGGAGGGAAATATTGGGTTTGGATTTTCTTAATTTTAATTTAGATAAATCTAACAAATGACCCTGAACTATAACCTTCGTTTTAAATGACCCTTAAATCTTCAATTATCCTAATTTGTACCCGTTTTTTTTTTTTTTTGTTCAATAGGTAGGGGTATTCAGGCTAGTTTATATACATCTCGACTAATCCCTTTTTTGGTTTGGTCAAAGGTAGATCATCCATGCCAAAATTAAGGTATTTATGAGAGATAAATTCATCATTGATCTGAGCCAAAATAGTTGACAATATTTAAACTCAGTACATCTAGATTTACAACTCGTCTTTGTTACTACTTTAACTATCTTTGGAGTTAAAAAATTTGGACCATTTTCTCGATTTGTCCCAGTCATGCTAATCTTCTTTGTATTGTTCTAATTTTATTGGAACTATGTAATTTATTTCAATCGACCCCTTTTGTTAAGCTAACAAATAAATAATACAAATTTTGCTAAGATTAATCATTAATGTAATAGATTCCCTTCAAATTAATTGTTAATTTATCTCATTTAATGAATATTATAAAAAAAATGAATTCATTAAAATAATGGTGCGTTTTATAACATTTTTGTTTTTATGTTTTTTTATTATAAAATTTTAAAATATAAAACATATTTAATAGTCATTTATATATAAAAATTTGTGAAAATAAAAATAAAAAATCTGTTTAGTATTATACCAAAAATCCGTCACCCAACTCCACCTAAACCCATCACTAACAACCACCCAACCCCACATCTAACCCCCGAAATCTATCACCCACCACCTAAAAACTACTTGAAACCACCATCACCACCCCTCAAACTCACCCTCAGACTCCCCAGTAACCCCACCCCCAAAAAATCCATCTTGAAAACCACTCAAAACCATCCCCAAACCACCATTCCCCACCCCCGCAAATCCACCAAACCACTTGAAACACAACCATCACCCCTAAAACCCCACCCTCAAACCCCCTAAAACCCCCACCTCCAAACCCCGAAGGCCAACTTGAACCCCCCACACCCAAAAAACCACCCGAAAACCCACCCCCAAACACCTTGAAAACCCCCTCCCCCCCCCCCCCAAAAAAAAAAAAAAAAAAAAAACCCACTCCTAAACCACTTGAAACCTACCACCACCACCTTGGAAAAACCCACCCCAAAAACCCAACCTGAAACCCCCCCCACCCCCAAAAAACCACCCAATCCCACCCCCTAAAACCCACTGATCTCGTCTTTGTCTTTCTCTTCAATTTCATCTTCGCGCTTGATTTCATTGTCGACCTCTTCATATCCCTCTTCTTCACTGATTTTTAGGTAAGAGAACAAGTGAGAGAGATGAGGGAAAGAGGCAAAGGGACTAAAAAAAAAAAAGGAAAAAAGGGGTTTTTATAGGTGGCTCAAAAAAATCTCATTTTGTTGTTAATGAGATTCGAAGGCTGGACTTCATTAATTGTTACACTAAAAATAGCGCGCGTTTCTAGTTTTTGATGTTTTAAAAAACATCATTTTTTATGTTTACAAATTTTGACTATGTTTTCAAAACAATGTGGTTTAAAAAAAAAAAAAAATACATCACAAACACGTTAATTTTTAGCAAAAAACGAAAAAAAAAATCGTAAACTTTCGATTACCAAACGACACCTAAATTACATAGTTCAAGAAATAAATTAGAATAATTGAAAATTCCAAGGGAGAATTTAAAATAAAGGTCATAATTTAAGAAGCATTTGTAATTTAGCATTTTAATTTTTGTCAGTTAATATCAAACTCAATTATTGATGGTAAAAGTTGTTGAATCTAATTAAAATTAATGAAATATCATCCAAAACTCACTGATAAACTTGTCAAATCAGTCTACTCGAAGCTTAATTTTTGTTGGTGTTAATATATTAATTCGAAGCTTAATTTGTAAGGAAGTATAAAATATGGGTGGTTGGAACTCAATTATTGAAAGAGAAGAAAACTAATGAAAGATGGCCAGCACAGATCCAAACCAAAGCTGCCTCCAGCCATCAGTTAAGCTTAAAGCATCAAAAAATATACGTGTTTTAGTTTATGCCGTCAGTTCAATCTAAAATTCAAGAGTTCAGAAAAATTAATGCACGTAGGAGAGTAATTATTGGGATAGTCATTATTCAAAAATAGTGTCTATCCTTAATAGTAACCATCCTCTCCGATAAATTAGTAGCTTAACTTTCACGTCACCGTTACAGGTAGGGCTTTGTGCTTATAAATTATAAACCCTTTACACGTGGGAATGGATCACACACTCCTCTATTACCTTGTACTCTCTCATTAATAGAGTTATTCGGCCACCGTTGGCGCTTTCAGTGATTAAGTTACCTAGACCCCCAATCACTCGATCTTTGTCTCTTATTATTCATTGTTTCATTAATTACTTTACAGCACATACTCTGACTGATTTGTACATAAATCTATTTTTATACATCATCAAAAGATAACAATTTGAATAAAAGTCTAGAATACTAAATACGAAATTTTATCTTGAACATTGGACAAATAATGATTCACTTGGGTAAAGTTATGATTCAATAATAATCTTAAGAAAAAACTTACGATGTTGAATTTCGGATAATGTGAATAAAAATAAAAATATTATAATTTAGGATTTTATAAAAAATAAAAAAATTGAAAAATGAGCTGACAGAAGTGGATATTATCGTCATGCTATGTGGCATGGGCAATCAAGAACATGTCGAAGAAAGTTCTTAAAAGACCAACTGGTGTTGTTGGAGATCAAATTCAAAATGTTGTTGAGTTAACTCGGCCGAGTTTTATAAAAAAACTCAGCCGAGTTTATCCCACACCCCAATTGTCCGAGATCAAATTCAAATAATTGATGAGTTAACTCGGCCTAGTTGATATCACGCTGATGTGTCTGCATTGACTCAGCATGAGCTCAGTAGGGTCCTACAGGCTACAAGCCAACAACTTTAACAGATTGATACGATGGCCACGATTACGAATAAGATGTTGATACAATTACCCTTACACCCCTATTTTTTGTGGCATTTACATGGATATCCACACCATGTTTGGAATTTTTTGTTGGTAAGTTTAATTTTGCTAAACTTTTATAGTTCCACATTTCAGTAGTTTACAACTATTGAAAATCATAATTCATACAAAACACACAAAAAATAATAATTACTATTATTTTTTGACAAATTTGAATTCTCTTTAAATTGTATTTATTTTTTGGTCATTATTTTGAACTTTTACAGGAGAAGAGATGGTAAGGTTTGAGCACGCGACCTAATGATCAAACAACGGGTTGCGGTTGAGAAATCGGGGCCAAAATTATTGACTAGGTCTAGAATCACAAACGAGACTCAGCTCATAGGCCCATTTAAGGAATGCAGGTCAAGCTCACCAAAAGAAACAAGAAGTTAAGTCAATCACGCCATTTTGTAAGAGAGTTAAGTCAACTGTCGTATGACGTGAGACTTAGTTCATAACTTACAAGTGGAGATATATCTTTGGGACACGCACATCACAACTTCTACAGAATTGTCTCACTTATTATGAGAAAGACTTCATTTCCACAAAACAATCTCAGTTGATATAAGAAAGGCATCTCGATCCATTAGGAGACGCTTATAAATTGTAAGTTTCACTTGTACAATGGGGGGTATCTCACACATATTACTCAGGCTTGAGCATCCCACAATCCTTGAAGCAATAAAACACTCAGGTCATCTTAATCCTTCACAATGGAGTAGGTCACCCTGATCGAATCACTTAAATTGAGTTTTATTTGAATCGACTCTCTTCATTTATTACTGCAT